TACTTGACATGGCTGAACAGGATTTGATCCCCATGTTACATATGTTACCCCCAAGCATTATTGGCATAAGTACCGAGCCAGGAGTAAGCCCTGTGCACTGATAGGGTGTGGTCCCCAAATAAAAAATGTATTTTTTGGTTTTTGTTTCTGGGCTCCACCCAGCAGTGCTCAGGGCTTACCCCTGGCTCTGCACCCAGGAATCTCTCCTGGCCAGAGACTGAACTTGAATCGGTCATGTGCAAGGCAAAGTATCTTACCCACTGCACTATCTCTCCAATCCCAAAGGAATCCTCGTTATAATATACTGGTTGCTTTTAGAAGTTGACACATTTATTTTGTTTCTTGGCTCTTCTGTGTGTCAGAATTGTCATAGGATGTGGTGTTCAGAATAACTGGATGTGGCAACGCAATGATTTAAAATGGGGATGCCTAGATCACTCTTAGCCCAGGATATTAGGAGGAGAAGGAAAGAAATCGCGTGGAGGGTGAAGAAGAGACAGATGAGAAGTAACAGTGGGCAAGGGTCAAGGAAACTAAGGTACATCAGTGCTATTAAAGAACGGAAGAGCTGAGGTTTGAAAAGGCAGTTACGATGGAGAAGGGACCACTAAGTAAATGATGGTTGGAGGGATCGCTCAGAATGGGAGTTGCATGCTGAAAGTAGACTAAGGACCAAACATGATGGCCTCTTAGTATATATATTGCAAACCATAATATCCAAAAGTAGGGAGAAAGAAGGAAGGTGCCAGCCACAGAGGAAGGAGGTGGGATGGGTGGATCTGAGGGGAGGATACTGGAAACATTTCTGGTGGAAAATGTGCACTGGAGAAGGATGTATTTCTTGATCATTGTGCGACTGAAACTTAATCATGAAAGTTTGTAACTGTATCTCACGGTGATTCAATAATAATGATAATGATAATAATAATAATAATAATGGGCTAAATGCCCAAACCACAAAGTCAACAAAACCCAAATCACGAGGTCCAAACTTTGACAACCACTTTTTCTTTGGGGGGGGACTACACCTGGCAATGCACAGGGGTTACTCCTGGCTCTGCACTCAGGAGTTATTCCTGGCGGTGCTCAGGGGACCATATGGGATGCTGGGAATCGAACCTGGGTCGGCCGCGTGCAAGGCAAGCGCCCTACCTGCTGTGCTATCTCTCCAGCCCCAGACAACCATTCTTAAAAAGGTACCTGTCAAGTTGGTAGACAGCAATGGTGGGGGTAAGGGAGGGAACTTGGGACCATTAATGGAGGGAAATTGACACTTTTGGTGAAATCCGGGCTGGAACATTGTATGTCTAAAACTCAACTACGAATAGCAGCAAATCACCGTGGCTTAAAAAAAATAAAATTAAAAAAGAAAAAAAATGTCATAATGAAAATTAAATACAAATATACCACGGCTCTTTGAAAGCGTGGACATGTGAAATTACATAGAAGATATATATGCTAATTTATATCTAGTCCATGTAATTTAATATATATTTTGTATTTTGAGGAAAAATATTTGAGAAAAACTGTATTTGAGAAAAAATGTGCTGAAGAATACAGTGCTAAATTTATTGAGATTGTCTTTTATTTCTTTAAAAATTGTGGTGCACAAACAATCTGTAGTAGAATTACAAAGTCTGCTTATGAAAATATGTACTCCTGGATTAGATGACTCAAATCTCTCAACATTTGACCTAGAGCTATAGGAGAACCTTAGAGATCAAACATCCACACCAAAGTGTTTTTTTGTTTCTTCTTTCCAGCTTTGATTATGAACCCAAGGGAGATCTGGAACAAGTCTTAAGGGCATTGATTAATAGTAAAAATAGAGCCAAAATTTTATGTACTGATTCTAAGATTCATTTCTAATAAGCTGGCTATTAATTTTTTATTTTAGAAAAAGAAAAAAATACCATAAAATTTAAAAGATATTGTTAGATGTCTCACCAAATAATGTATTCCTATCACTAATTAATCAGATTTCTATTTTTTCCCAAGTTTTGATAATACCTTTCCTTCACAGTCATTAAAAATATTTTGAATTGCATCACAATTTTTGCAGAAAAGGACAGCAATTTTATATTCCATGTCATTTAAATTAGGTCTTTTAAATATCACCAGTGATTACATTAGTGAAGGACTTTTCAAAGTTATTTTAATTGTGCTAAGAAACAGTTAGCACTCAGTGATTTCTCAAAGACCGTAAAACTATAATTCATGACATAAATTCTTGAAATATGTCTGTGCCATCAGTTAAAATAGTTTAAGTGTGATATCATTCAAAAGTGAGTCAAAAATGTTTTACACATTGTAATGAAGCTATTAATAATTTTCTATCTTCTCTTATGTATATATTTAGTTTGGCTTTTGAAAAGGAAAAGACTCTGAAAGCCATTCATTATCCGTTTGTACTCAGATCACACTTTGACACCCATTTGTGATAAGAGGCACCACTGGAGCTGGAGAGAAGCTGGTCAGAAAACTTCTTTGGGATTCATACATTGACAATACCAGGGCCCTAATGATTTTCTGGCCTGGTTCCTCATTTTGCTAACAGGATTCTAGAGGGGGAAAATGTGTTCTTTTGTTTTGTTTTGTTTTTCTTCTTTGGGACCCACCAGGCTGTCCTGAGGCTTTACTTCCGGCTCTGTATTAGGAGCTCACTTCTGTAGGGCCTCGCACCTGCTCTGCCATATGCAATGGGAGGGAACACACCACCCACTGTCCTAGGGCTCCCAAAATTCCTATTTTTTTGAAAAGCATAGCTTGGGGTCAGAATCTGGCACTTTGTTTACCTAAAATTCACTTTTTGGGCTGGAGTGATAGCACAGCCGGTATGGCGTTTGCCTTGCATATGGCCAACCCGGGTTCGATTCCCAACATCCCATATGGTCCCGTGAGCACCACCAGGAGTGATTCCTGAGTGCAGAGCCAGCAGTAACCCCTGAGCATTGCTGGGTGTGACCCAAAAAGCAAACAAACAAACAAAACAAAAACAAAAACAAAAATTCATTTTTCTTACCCCCCCCCCCCCCCCCGCAACTCCAGTCTTTCTCTGGGGCCATGATTTTTTTTTTTAATAAAATATTACATTTCCCAGTCTTCCAGGTTCTCGGGTATGGCCATATGACTACATTCCTTTCATGAAACAGAAGAGAATTTATCTGTGTGGTAGTTTTGGGAGAAGAGTCTTTTTTTTTCTTCATCACAAATGACTTTTAATTATTTATTTTCTGAAATTCTATTTGTCATTCATTTAAGGGTTTTTAAAATTTATTTTATTTTATTTTTTAGATTTTTATTAGTGAAACACCTTTCAGGGTCTTAGGGGTGAGTCCTTTATGCCCTGTCAGTCTCTCTCCAGGCCTCTTGTTCAGAACATGTTTGTCTAGTCTAGACATTTATTTGGTCCATGGTGATGACTGTGGGGCTTTTGTTTCAACTTTGCATATTCACATAAGGGGATGGAAGAAGCTTCTATCAGGTTTAAGTCAATATTCTGTGATCCCTAATATTCAAAGCTGCATTTGATTATATGGAAATGAGCTATTTTTTTTCAGTATGTAGTTACTAAGCACTTTTTTAATGAGAAAGGAACTATGCTAAGTGGATATGAACAAATTAATTTTATTTTTCATTTTGAATTTCTGAAGACTCTGGAAAATGTTTTTAAAACCGAACTCAAACTCCTCTTTTAATGAATCCATTCTGGCCTCTATTCCATGCATACCCATATTTCACTGCATATTCACTGCAGATTTTATGCCAAATATTTGTGAAAAAAAAAAGTGGGGTGTGACCATAATGTGAAGCTTTTTAAAAATTGTGCCAGTATTACTTAAAAAAATTTTTTTTTACACAATGTCTACAATTACACAACGAAAGGTTATAAACTAGTTTCTGGACTGGAAAAACAGGGTGCTACAATTATGTGGTGAAATATAGTATCGCATAATTCTCATTTTTTTCACTATGTAGACATATTTTTCTTGACTCTGGATTTTAGACTTTTTGGATTTAGACTGTCATGTAACATTTTTCAAAAGTTAAAATCTTTGGAAACACAATCCCATATGAGTTTAAGTATAATTTTGATTTTCACTCAGACAATGCAAGTTCTGATTAAAGGTCACGATGCAAATGAAGCCTCTGAATATATGTAGAATGTCCATATTTGTCTGTAAACCAACTATAAATAACATAGATCAGGTTTCCAAAATGCTGTATAAATCAATTTTCTATTTTGAAATTTTATTTTACTTTAGGGCCATGCCTGGTTCTGTCAGGACTTATATTCCTGGCTCTGAGGTCAGGTATCATTCTTGGTGGTGCCCACAATACTTTCTCTCCATCCCCATAAATGTATTCTCTAACAACACTTAGAAAGACAATAAGGGACATACTGTTTTTTCAGTGTTAGTACCACAGCAGAAAGGATATTAGAACCCTGGGTGAATCTGAGGCCAGAATCTTCATTCCTAAATGATTCATCTCCCCATTCATAACAAAAGTTGGGTGGATATTTCTAGGATCTGAACAAATAGTTGCTCGTTCCATGTTCTAATTCTGTTGCTAGACACTGAGAACTTCCCTATTTCTGAGGTCTCTTTTAAATCCCCCTCCCAAAGTTAATGTTCATTTTTTATGATATTTTATTTCATCTTAGAAATTTTTCTCTTTTTTTTTAAATTTTACTAAGAAACCGTGATTTACAAAGCTTTCATAATGGAATTGCTTCAGGCATAAAATGTTGCAACACCAACCCCACCACAACTGTCCCAAGGGTTCCTGCCATCCCCTAGTCTACTCCCTTGCCAAGCAAATAATAAATTTGCTAGATTCGTTTTAAAAAATGTTAAAGAATAGAACATGTTCTGGGTTTCAATATTTTCCTTTCCAAATTAAAAAATTAAGACTTTCACATATACAATATAATTTTCAATAGCAGTAGTAATATAACAAGATTGCAAGGCATATATTAAGTATAAAAGCATACTTACTTTTGGGTCCACATTAAGAGTTTTTCTATCTCTTTTGTATCTGAAAAGTAAGCCTTCGGGATTATCGGCAATCACTTGATAGTTAGGAGTTGAATTACACATAGCAGTATGACTGTTCCAGTTGTAAAAGCTAAAAAAAGAATTGTTTGTTAAGAATTAATATGAATAATACATTAAACTGGCAAAAATATTTTGGAAAATATTTGGGACAATTTCTTATGATAAATGAGAAGGTTCACATTGTACAAGCATGCATCAACAGAGTGATGAAAATTCTTTTTTTTCTTTTTATTGAATCACGCTGAGATAGTTACAAAGCTTTCATGTTTGAATTTCAGTCATTCAATGATCAAACACCCATCCCTTCACCAGTGCACATTTTCCACCACCAATGTCCCCAGTAATCCAACTCCTTCCCATGCCTCTAAGGCAGACAATTTCTCCCATACTCTCTACTTCGGGGTATTTTGGTTTACAATACAGATAATCAGAGGCTATCACATTTGGTCCTTTATCTACTTTCAATACACATCTCCCATCCCAAACCATCCCTCCAACCATCATTGAATTAGTGATCCCTTCTCTATTCCAGCTACCTTATCCCCCAGCTCATGAGGCAAGCTATCAACCATGGAGCAATATTCATGGACCTGTATCTGCTGTCTTTAGGTGTCAGTCTTATATTGTTATTTTATACTCCATAAGTGAGTGCAGGCATTCTATGTCTGTCCCGCTCTTTCTGACTCATTTCACTTAGCATGATACTCTCCATGATCATCCACGTATAAGCAAATTTCATGACTTTATCTTTGGAACATTTTCTACTACTTTGCATGATTTCCTGGTTTGAACACTTAGACCTAGAGTCTGTTCTGGTATTACATTTCCAGGAAGTCAAGAAAAAATTTGATACAATTTCAAATGGTTTCTTTTAATTCAGACTATTCAGGGTGTCAAGAATATTGGGATATTAAGAGATTATTTACGAGAAGCAAAATATGTTGATTATTTTTCAGGAACCAAAAAGTGAGGAAACTATTTGTATTTGAGAAGTTATCATAGTTCAAGCATGATATTATAACCATGATTATACTCGTGAAATTACTCTCATTTCACAGACAAGGCAGGAGACTAGTGAGGTAACTAGCAGAATAAAAATCCTACAATATAATGAAAGTAATATTTAAAAGTTATCTGCACTTCAAAGCAAACATGCTCTTTCTGCTATTCAACAATATCTGAATTTTTATTACTTTTTCTGGGGGTATGGATTTGTTCAGTGGAAATATAGATTTTCCTTATGTCTTGACTTATGCCCACTTCTCAAAATAGATATAACATTATTATATATGTTAGAATAATCATTAATGTACAACTTTTATGCATCTTTTTCATATGAACACTTTTTATATTAATGTTGTGTTTTTAAATGACAGAGATAATTCATATATAACTTGGAACAGTATGTTCACAAACACTGAAAATACCAATTTTTAAAAAATTTTTATTAGTGAAACACCATGATGTACAGTTGTAGACTTACAAAAATACTAATTTTTAATCAATTTTTTCTTATCCTTTTTTATGTCTTATTTTTCCTTTTTTTACCCTCATTCTTCATTTCGAAAGAGTCAATTTTTGTTGATTAAACTCACTCTGAATTACAGTTTACTGGAGCATTGACTTTTGTATTGTTATGAGAAAATGTAGTAAAATGCTTAGAGAGTTTTGACTCACAGATGACAAATTTACATGTAAATCATTGAGTGGGCATATAAGTGAGCACCATTCTCTTTACTTTGATCAACATTTTTGTGTTCATATTTAAGAATTCATAATAAATGCTTAATCTTTAATATTTAGAATAATCATATAAACAAAACAATTTGATTTGTTTTATGCCTATTGATTTCTTGTCCTCAATGATCATATTTATGACAATATTTTAAATTCTCTTCATATAGATAATAGTGCTCAGTTTCTCTCGGGTCTGTTCCTGAAATTTTACCTTGTTGCTTTTTCATTGTTTTCAGCATATTTGCCTGATTCTTTATTCTGGACTCTTTATGTCGATGCATATGAATTTCCTATGCCTATGGATTGGACACAAGCAAGCACAACTCATATCGTGGGGAAGACAGCGACCATTAGCTGGTCAAACATTCTTGAGGCTCTTCCAACTTTTTCCCCTCTCTTCTGGCAGAGGCTGGAAGCAGTGTTTTTGTGTGTTTGCTTTCTGATGATTGGGGGTAGGATCTGCAATATCTGCCAGTCTAACTTCCATCTCCTTTTCCTCTAGTTGGGCAGACTCTGCTGGATCCGTCAAGCTAAAATATTACCAAGGAAAAGATTCAAAGTTTGGTGGCAATCATAATGTGTATAATAGATGACTTATAATGCTGTGCAACGACGATCAACGGGAGGGCCTTTACCTTTGCCTTTATAATGCTGTGCAACCAAAACATGTAATGTCATGAACTGATGTTACTTAAACAAAACAATAAAAATCTCTATACAAATTTAACATATAGTTTTTAAATAATAGGAACCATAGAACTAGTAGTATAAATATCAAACTCTGAAAGGCAGATAATAGAGTGAACCAAATCCTTATTTGTTATAACTTAAGAATACCTTCTATATTGGTAAAGGTAAAGGCCCTCCCATTGTTCATCGATTTGCTCGAACGGACCCAGTAACATCTCCATTGGAGATTTTGTTGTTACTGTGTTTGGCATATCGAATATGTCACGGGGAGCTTACCAGGCTCTGCCGTGCGGGCGAGATACTCTCGGTAGCTTGCCGGGCTCTCCGAGAGGGGCAGAGGAATCGAACTCGGGTCAGCCATGTTGGCTGCGTGCAAGGCAAACGCCCTACCGCTGTGAAATAAGTTAAGCTTAAGTATAGTTAATGGAATTTGCCTCTCGAAGTGGGGGAGGGGATACCAATGGAGGATACTAATCCTTACATTTTTCTGTTTGATAGTATTAGATCGTTTGTATACACAATACTTTATTAACTTATTATTTTTTTAACTGAATCACCATGAGATATGGAATTACAAAGTTGTTCATGATTGGGTTTCAGCCATACAACGTTCCATTACCCATCCCTCCTTCACCAGTGTACATTTTTAAAACATTGGGTTAAAAAACAGAAACTGCAGATGCTTCTCTGCTGTCCTCAGAGAAGTGTTTCCATAAAGCCTTCATTTCCTTTACAAAGAGACAGAAACCAGTCCTCTGGGGAGCCTCCCAAACAAAATTGAAGCTCTCAACACAAACCACACTTAACATGCCCCAGAGTAGCTGAGCTCTATGGATTTCCTTTTGCTTCTATGTGCTCAGAGCTAGGGTAAAATTCCAGCAAGAGGAAGGTCTCTTCTGAATTTTGTGAAACTTATTTTGCATTTGCCTGGGGTAGAATGACTTATAATTCCTCTTTAGAGTTCCCACAAAAGGAATGTGTGTGGAATTTTTCCTGGGAACATGTGATTGTGGGGGATGAGAGTTAAGAATTCCTACTCTACTATCTTGTTGATGTCATCACTCTGAGCATTCCTTTTGCCTGTCATTCCTTGATTAATTGGAAATAGCAAAATACATGTCAATTCAAAATGTGTTAGTATAGGTTTAATCATTTATTCCACTTTGTCCAAGCCACTGATATTTAAATACTCTAAAATATGAAATCTAGAATACGTTGCTAGTTTTCAGTCTGTTTTTCCAATAGATTTTTTTGAGTATATTTGAATTCTTTGCAAGTCTGTATATTGGGTTTCTTGGCTTTTCCTTTCTGTCCTAATTTATTTCAATAAATTCATTACTTCTATACTTGTCCCATATTTCACTTTTGGCAATAATCATAACTCTCTTGCTCAAGTGACCCTATTTATAGAGAATGCACTGGCTTTAGATCGACACAAAGTTTATCCTTCTTATTTCATGATCTGGTGGGTCTTCTGACAACTCTTGCTGCAAATAATCTCTCATTCACTTGATCACTTGATCACTTGACTTCCCGTTAATCGTCAATTTGCTCGAGGGGGCGTCAGTAACGTCTCCATTTGTCCCAGTCACGTGCTGTGCTAGTGTAGCCCAATGGCATCTGTTTGCTCTAGGAACATGAAGAGCCTCAAACCGATCGTTCATGATCTTGATGAAGAAGTCTGACCATCTGGTAGGTGGGCGGCCACGCGGTCTTTTGACATCCCATGGAATCCAGTCGGTAACAGCTTTGTTCCAGCGGTCGTCTTTAAATCTCATTACGTGACCAGCCCAACTGATTTTTGACACCTTGGCAAACGAGACAGCGTCCCTGATTCTTGATCATTGACGGATGTCGGAACTCCGGATTCTTTCTCTCATTTGAGTGAAATGTGATATTCCAAGCATAGCTCTTTCAATTCCTCTTTGGAAGACCCGAATAGCGTTCTCATCCTGTTTGCGTAGGGTCCAGGTCTCTGAGGCATACGTTAATGCAGGAAGAACAGTGGAATCAAAGAGATGTGCCCGGAGCCGGAGGTTCTTCGTCCTCTTAGCTATTTCTTCGACGTTCGTGAAGGCATTCCAAGCCGCTCTCTTCCTTCTGCGCAGCTCGGGTGCCAGGTCATTTGTCATGTTGACTTCTCGACCTAGGTACACATAGCTGTTGCATTCGGAGATGGTCGTTCCGTTGAGAGCGAATGGGACATCAGGAACGAGGCTGTTTCTCATAAACATTGTCTTCGTAAGATTCAGCTGTAGTCCTACCTTTCCACACTCATGGTCAAAGTCGGCCAGCATTTGTGCTGCTTGGGTGATGTTTGGTGTTATTAAAACAATGTCATCAGCAAAGTGGAGGTGGTGTAGTTGCCGACTATCTATCTTCACTCCCATTCCTTCCCATTCCAGTCATCGCATGATGTTCTCGAGGGTGGCACTGAAGAGTTTCGGTGAAATGGTATCACCCTGCCGAACCCCTCTCTTGACATCGATGATTACTTCTTTGTAGAATGGTGAGATCCTGGTAGTGAACCCACAATACAGCTCACGGAGGATCTTGATGTATTGGGCTTGAATGCCCTGATTGGCTAGGGCTTCAATGACCGCTTCCATCTCAACAGAATCAAAGGCCTTCTTTAAATCAATG